TTCTTGTATAAAAACTTTACAAGATTTACTTGTATGAAAAAAAAAACCGTTTTATGCTATTTTGAAGTGATGATTCTTATTTATAAGACATAGGTTTTGTTTTTACCGGTTACTTTAAACATTAAAATAACTACTTAAATACTCGTCCCAGCCTCGATTAAATTTTGCATCGGGTAAAAGCTATTAAGCTATTCTATTTATGAATAGAATTGTCGGGCTCGTATTTATTGACATTAATTATTATTCGGGAAAATTGTACTTTCAATATATAACTTATATGTATGGATTATGAAAATAAATTTTTCGTCGTCGATTCTGAAACCCACAATGTGTATACAATTAATTTATTTAAAGTTTTTTGTGCTGATATTATGAAAGTCATTCCATAACTGAAAAAGATGTACTTTAATCTTATACGACACTATGTCATATGAATTCGAAATAGACGTACGTTTATGGATAAGTTACGGAAGACACAAACACACACACACACACACACACACACACACACACACACACACACACACACACACACACACACACACACACACACACACACACACACACACACACACACACACACACACACACACACCCCACACACACACACACACACACACACACACACACACACACACACACACACACACACACACACACACACATACACACACACACTCACGCACGCACCCACGTATGCACGCACGTACGCACGCACGCTTGCACGCACCCACGCAGGCACGCGCAGCACCCACGTACGCACGCACGTACGCACGCACGCACATAATAACAACTAGACTGATATAAATTTACTGGACCAATTGTGAAATATTTATTAAGTACCTATTACCTATTTATTGATTAACTGTTGACATTTTGTTATTTTTGATATTTTACTCACAAATATTATTATTTTGTATTTGTAAAATTTGCATGCCATTAATAATGGCTGATTAAGAAGATGTTTAATTAATATGACCATCTTCAGTGTACCTTAACCAAACGCGAATAAATATTTCATTCATTCATTCATTCATAAATTTTTGATGGTGTTTATCTATACAGTTATCTATACAGTGACATAGGTAAAGAAATGGTGGGAGGTTAGCATATATACATACAATCAGCCTGATCAGATGAAAATTTTGAAAACCTATTAACCGATTGATTGCACACCTAAAACTCGAAGCTGAGAGGTTGGGCTCTACTGCCAAATTTTTTAAATTACTCATTTTTTGTATTTTTTTTTTCGGTTGCGATAAAACACGGAATAAGTTAGCTAACTATTGTTATTGAGTGAAATGAAAATTATGTAAATAACTTTTTACGTACTAAACACGTATCGCGTATGTTCAATATATATTTGAAATAATATATTGAACATACGCGATACGTGTTTAAGTGAAAGTAATGTTACAATTAAATAATAAATAATATGAACTGAAACTGACTGACAAATATAAAGAAGGGATGAAATTAACTTTGTTTTTTTTCTAATCATTTATGTACGCGATTCGTATATTTATTTTGTATGTGAAAGAAATGGCGCAATTATTTAATGAATAGCAAAATTCTATGGAGTAAAATGATATGGGGTAGTGAGTTTTCTTTGTCGCCATCAAATGGAACCCTTACATCAACTAAATGTGGGATAGCGAAAAAATAAGGTAGGAAAGTCTTACAAATATTTTACACACTTATTAAATTATTTTCTTTATACTATTGTAAGGGACATGTAAATCTCCAAAATCTCCTAATTTATGGGAGACCCCTATGTTCAGCAGTGATCTTTTGTAGACAATAATAGATTAATGGATTTAATTAGTAGTTTATAGATTAAAAATCCAATGACATATTCGAACTTGAAATTGTATCCTATTATTAGCAATTTCATTTTAGTTTCCTAAAACTTTATTAAAAAAAATGAATCACTACTATAATAGCTTAAAGATTTTACGTATGTTTTCCATTTAAATGAATTAATTTAATTTTCCGTCACCTCATTATATTTGACTTCAACCATTCATAACAGCTTATAAGTCCGCTACTGAACATGGGTTCCCTTTTTATATAAGATAGGGTGACAAACGAGCATACAGTATACGTGGTAGAGCCATGCTGCAGTTATATTAGTAATATAGTTGTAGCACGAATGGGTCGGCTCGACCGGGGAAGGACCACGCTCTCACAGAATACCAGCGTGAAATAGTAGCCTAATGCTATTGTATTTCGTATGGTGAGTGTAGAGAACCGGAGACCCTTTTTACTGGAAACGAGGCATTCCATCTTAGTTCTCACGGGTGACAACGCATCTGCATTTTGATTCGTAATCGAGGATAGATGTAGATGTCTATAGGCCACAGCAACCACTTACCATCAGGTGGACTGTGTGCTCGTTTGTCACCCTATCCTATAAAAAAAAATACAGTCCACCTGATTGTAAGTGGTTGCTGCGGCCCATAGACATCTACATCTATCCTCCATTACAAATCAAAATGTGGATGCGTCGTCACCCGTGAGGACTAAGATGGAATGCCTCGTTTCCAGTAAAAAGGGTCTCCGGTTCTCTGGACTCACCATACGAAACACAGCAGCATTAACCTACTATTTGACGCTGGTAGTCTGTGAGAGCGTGGTCCTTCTCCGGTCGAGCCGACCCATTCGTGCTACAACTATACTACTAATATAACTGCAGTATGGCTCTACCACGTAAAAATAACAAATACCACATACTACGTAATACCCATAGATTGCCTCATTGGAAGCAATAAGCTACAGAATATTGGAAGGACTTGCTCCGCTTAGCGGACACGAGTTGGCATCCACAGTTTTTCTATTATTTTCAGTTATTATTATGAAGAAGCTGCTACCCATCTGCCGCTTCAGTTTCCCTTTGTCGACTCTTACGACACTCTTGGGACGATATGGATTAGTAGATATTCTTACACCGCTACAACATGGTCTATTGTTTATATATGTATATATATATATATATATATATATATATATATATATATATATATATTGTTATTATATTACTTTGGTCGTTAGAGGCAAATAGGGCAATTCCAGAAAAATCTCACGGCTTCCGATACACGTCTATTTACGGCAAACGTAAAATACCCAGACAGACGGCAGGGTTAGAAAGGCAAGACGTCTTGTACTGTGATTGTCAATCCACCACCTGCCAAGCAAGCAATTCGCAATGCAGCTGCAGCTTGACTCCAACTCCATAAACGATGATGTAGGTCTATGCAGCAGCTTCTTGGCCACAGCGTATAAAAGTTACAGCCTACATCCGTCCCACTGCTGGGCACGGGCGTCCTCTCATTTCGGACAGAGTTTTAGGGCAAAGAAATTCACCGCGCTGATCATTGTGTGTTGGGGAACTTCACGCGTCCTTGAAATTTTTTTCTTATTTCTCAGACATGCAGGTTTCCTCACGATGTTTTCCTTCACCACTGAGCACGTGGTAAATCAGCACTTAAAATTGCAATTAACAATTTCATTGGTGGGAGCGGCGATTGAACCTTGATTGAAATTGTTCGCGTACTGTGACTGTGTTTACAGCAAGCGCTTACCGTCTGAGCAACCACGGCTCTGGCTACACCATATACTTACCATCTAATTTCGATTAGGTAGACTGTATGCGAGTCAACCTTATTTATAATAGTTCTCCAACCTAATTCTATATGTCTTTTGTTTTGTGAAGATATTAATTTAGCATAGGAAACACTCAAATATAATAGCAATTAGTGAAGACGCTTTCCATTTTATTACATAATGGATGAAATTCATAATAAAGTTAAGACGTTTCTTGGTAATGTATAAGCAATGTTAAGCCTAAGGGAGATTGCTCGAAATACGATCAATTAGACAAGAAACTGTCTATGAGGAAACTGGTGGTTGAACTTCATTGCTCCAGGGAAAATTTGAAATGCACAGAGTTATGCCAAATCTTTTTTTAATATAATATGTTAGAAATATTTTATAGAATCTTATGTTTCTATGTAACTACTGTAAAAAGGATCAGTTATTACAGCTTATCTCTACTGCTGAACAAAGGCCTCCTTATTACAGCTTATCTCTACTGCTGAACAAAGGCCTCCTCATAGATTGCCTCACAGGAAGATATTTGCCAAAGTCGCCATTGTTTTTGTTACTGATTAATTATAATATGTTAGAAATATTTTATAGAATTTTATGTTTCTACGTAACCACTGCAAAAAGGATCTGAAGGCCTACTCTCTTTCTCCGAAACGAAACTTCGTTATCGAACGAAATTTAAACGAAGTTTCGTGTCTGACCCTACTCTATATCATTTTCGGACGCGCACGCAAAGTTCGAGTCCATAGACAATTTTCGTGAACGAATGGAACGAACAATGTTATGTATTTTACGAATTTATTAAAATAATCGTGGTCTTTTATGCATATTATTCCAGAAAATCTTACTGAAGCAATAAATATACAAGTTTTCGAAGAAAATCACAGTGACACTAAAATAACCCTTTCAATGACCGTTAACCGACTAAGTTAAGGTGTACAATAATATCAAACGGTGTTTATAGTATCGTATAACAACCAAACTTATCCGTATTATCACAATGCTGTCAGTCATCACTTGAGGATTTTTTGTTTGCATTCTTTAAAAGTTTGAATAGTTTTATTATAAGTTTGTTTCTCAAGCTCAAGTGTAAGACGTAGGTAGAGATTATTTCCTGTGTGCTCAAGTGAAGAGTTATTAATATGTTTTGTTTTTTTCTTTGCCTACTTTGCAAACGCGATACACATTCCCTGACAAAGTTTCAATTTCAAGTCGCATTTTTCATATGGGCGTCCTTTGGTCCACAAAGACTTCTATTTGGTTTAATTTGCTTTTATATTCAGAAAGAGTGTAAGTAATGTTAATTGTTTTGCACTTATAATACTTCCATAACATATTTTTTGTAATAATAGGTACCTATAATTTATTTTCATCTCATCTTTCAGTGTAAAATAATGGCTCCACATACGGGTTCGGCTACTACTGAACAAATTGATACACTCCTCAATTTCCTGGACGAGCATAGGGATCTTGCTCGCGGGAGATTGAGGAGTCTAGAAGGAAAAGTCCAGGCGAAGAGGCTGTGGGATGAATTGTGCAATGCGCTCAATTCCATGGGCGGTTGCACAAAGACAGTTCAGCAGTGGCAAAAGGTAATTCGTAGTAATATAATTAAATGCTTAAGCTATTTATCAGTGAAAAGTGAGTGACAAAGATTTAATATTTACTTTTATTTTGGATAGGTATGGTTTGATAGAAAACATCTAGCCAAAAAAGCCGCTGCTGATTCCCGGAGGTGGGCTTCAATGACTGGAGGTGGTCCATCGGTGGCACCCCAACTCTCCCATTCGGAATTAAAAGTCTTATCCATAATGGGAGATGGGTTCGGTGACCGCCAAATTGGAGCCTGAGTGCCAGCTTTCACTGAAGTAAGTACCTCATCATTCTTTGGTTTCCCTATTTCTAAACTTTGATATGTTCAAATATTTATCTTAATGATATATGATTTTTATTTACAAAATTATTTTTCTATGTGAGTATGCTACTTTTTTTTAACCCATCAGGTAAAAATACAATACAATTTGTATTGTGGTAGACATTAAAAATTAATAATTCACTTAAACATTAAGCATTCAATCTTTTATATTCATTTCAGACGAATGAATCCAGACCATCAACCTACAGTCAAGGAAGCCAACTGCAGCAGCAGAGCCTGGACTTGCATGTAGAAGTTGAGGAGTACGCCGACCCAAGCAAAGAAAGCCAGCAGGTCTACTCTAATTCAACGAAAAACGAAATTTCGATCGAAATTGATACACAAGGTATGTATGGATGTATTTGATACATGAAGGTCTTACCACTAAACTACAGTCGAGATTAAAATTACAAGAAAAATATTGTTTGTCACAAAAAATATACTTATTGATTAAGTATTTACTGCAATGTAACATATTGGAATGTTGTTTTGCAGCCTCACAATCTGCACTTCCCAGAAGAATACGATCCGCTGCTGGCTCCGATGTCAGAAGTAGATTGTACCAGTATGAAGATGGACGTGCAGAGAGAGAGACAGTGAGGAACACCGAGCTCGCAGGCATCAGTTGCGTGACATAGGGCGAGATTATTTAGAGTTTTTAAGGCAAAATAAGCGTTAGGTTTTAAATAAATTTATTTTAGAATACTATTGTTTCTTTTTACTATTTTTGAGACTATTTGTACTTTCAGATTAAGAAAGCTAAAATAAGAACTTTATTATTAGTGATAGTTGATTATCATGACCATAATTCGATATAATATAAAGATACTGTTAAGTATTTAAAATCATAGAAGTTATTATTTTCTCTGTATGTGACAAAATATCTGCAATGTCATAGGTAAGGATTAAGTAAATATTTGTTGCCATTTTATGAACATCTAGGTAGGTAGGATAATGATAAGTAGGTGAAAAAATAAAACAGAACTAATTTTATGCCTAAAAATATTTTAATCTAGGCTGTTACAAGCACTTGTGAATGTCAAAGAAGCTACGCCATCGGTTCTCAAACCCTAAGCGGGAGACCTTGTAACGAGAAGAACCGGCAAGAAACTCGTTAAGGGCTGATTTTTTTCTCCTTGTACATTTCATACAGTCATCAAATTTGTAAAATGACCTTTAAGGTAATGTAATTTTCCACCACAAAAATTAACAAAAGTTTACATACAATGGGTAGGTATTGAAATTAATTATCTACACATCCGATAGGTAACAGCAAATAACTTTCAACTAGTTGAGAAATCACTGTCTACTAGGTACCTACTCGAAAATTCATACCCAAATAGATAATGTTGTACAATATGCAATATTAACTAAATTCATTAGACATAAAAGTTAACATTAAAAAAACGCATTGCTTACAATTATAACAAAATAAGAAGTGTATGTTTTAGGTAAGAAGTGAGTGCCATACATTTCAGTAATATTAATTCCTAATCCTATAATATTATAAATGAGAAAGTATGGATTTTGATTGTTACTTAATCACAAATAAACGGCTTAAATGTGGCTGATATGATGATGATGATGATTATCTCCTAAAACAAAAAAAAGTTTGTAATTGAGTTTATTTTAATCTACTTGCACAATTGTTTGGTTTGAGTTTATCTTACCGGTTCCTTTCTAACATTTGTATTAATGAATTCCTTGCCCTTCGACCTGCCTGTAGAGCTTGAGTAGAAGATGCGGCCGTTTCAAAAGGAACCTGCCTGGTTCTCTCCGATTGGTGTTCCTCTTCAGTCAACTCGGGACCTTCAATACCAGCCCTTATACACATGTTGTGTAAAACACAGCAGGCTAATATAATTTTACCTGCTGTTTCTGGGCAGTAATGGAGTTCCCTAGCTGCCAAAAGACATCTCCATCGACCCTTCAATACACCAAATGTGCGTTCTATGGTGCAGCGTGCACGTTTTTGGAGGTAATTGTACCTTCCCTCTGGAGAGTTCTCAACAGCATTATGTACAGGTGTCATCATATGCTCCCTTAGAGCATAACCAGAATCACCTAAAAATTTAAAAATGTAATATTAGTGTAAATTGCATCATCACATTACTTATACATAATGAATATCAAAACTATAAATCAAGACATGCCTAATAGATAAACTGTTTCATCCTGGAGACCCTCCAGGTGGTTTCTTATCTCACATTCCCTCCAAATATAAGCGTCGTGAGTTGCTCCACCATATGAAGCATCAACATTTGTAATTAATAAATCACTGTCACATATCTGAAAAAGAATTTCCATCAATGTAACATAGGATAAAATGTAAGTAATAAAATAGTGAATGTCATAATAAAAACATTAAAATATTGTTCCTAAACTTACAACTTGAGTATTAATCGAATGAAAATGTTTTCGATTAAAATATTGTTCCTCATGCTTCCTATGGCTACATGTGAACAATCGATGCACCCCACCACAGCGGGTAGCCCATATTTATCATAAAATCTACAATAAGGATCATCATCATCATCATTACAGCCCTTCACAAGTCCACTGCTGAACATAGGCCTCCCCCAAGTAATGCCACAAAGCACGGTCCTGAGCCACCTGCATCCATCGACTTCCTGCATGTCTTACCAGGTCGTCACTCCATCTAGTGGGGGGTCGCCCTACACTACGCCTACCGGTACGAGGCTGCCACTCGAGAACCTTTCTTCCCCATCGGTTATCGGTTCTTCGAGCTATATGGCCGGCCCATTGCCACTTCAGCTTACTAATCCGTTGGGCTATGTCGGTCACTCTGGTTTTACTGCGGATATCCTCATTTCTGAGTCTATCACGCAGAGAAACTCCGAGCATAGCCCTCTCCATAGCTCGCTGAGCGACCTTAAGCGTCCTCATACGGCCAGCAGTGAAGGACCACGTCTCAGATCCGTAAGTCATCACTGGCAACACGCACTGGTTGTACAATCTAGTTTTTAGAGATTGAGGTATACCTGACGAAAAGATATGCCGTAATTTCCCGAACGCTGCCCAGCCGAGTTGAATCCGTCGATTGACCTCTCGGTCGAAGTTGGACTTACCTAGTCGGACTATTTGTCCCAGGTAAACGTATTCGTCAACAACTTCGAGTATAGTGCTCCCAACAACTACCGGCATAGGTGTGACATGGACATTGAACATGATCTTTGTTTTGTCCATGTTCATCTTAAGACCTATCCGTTGGGAGGCACTATTGAGGTCATTGAGCATAGTGCTTAAGTCCTCCAGCGATTCTGCCATAAGGACTATATCGTCGGCAAATCGAAGGTGAGTGATGTACTCGCCATTGATGTCAATACCGTATCCTTTCCAGTCCAGTAGCTTGAAAACGTCTTCCAATGCAGCGGTGAAGAGTTTCGGGGATATAACGTCACCCTGTCTTACACCTCTCTGCAGTTGGATAGGTTTCGAGCTCTGGTTCTGTACTCGGATAGCCATCGTAGCCCTACTGTACAAACACTTCAGCACTTCGATATACCGACAGTCAACTTGGCACCGCTGAAGGGACTGTAGCACCGCCCAAATTTCGACGGAATCAAAGGCTTTCTCATAGTCCACATACGCCAGGCAAAGTGGCAGATTGTACTCTTCAGTCTTCTGTACAATCTGCCGCAGGGTAAGTATGTGGTCTATGGTACTGAAGCCTTTTCGGAAACCGGCTTGTTCGGGAGGCTGGAAGTCGTCAAGTCTGCGTGCGAGACGATTCGTAATGACTCTCGAAAACAGCACGTAGACGCGGCTCAGAAGGGAAATCGGTCTGTAGTTCTTTAAGAGAGCGTTGTCGCCTTTCTTAAAGAACAAGACCACCGCACTTCTGCTCCACGCCTCTGGAGTAGTGCCATCATGGAGGACGGAATTGAAGAGCTTCTGAAGGACTTCAAGTACCAGTGTTCCACCCGCTTTCAGAAGCTCCGCTGTAATTCCATCCTCGCCTGGGGCCCTGCCGTTTTTAAGGTGCTGGAGAGCCATTCTAATCTCGCTTAGACTGACGTCCGGGATATCATCGGAATAGTGTCGGATAAGACTTGCTCTTGGATCGTTACTCACACTTGCGTGTGGCTCCAACGATGATGTGTACAGCTGCCCATAGAACCTCTCAATCTCACTCAAAATCTCAGGTGTCCCGGAAACGATGTTGCCACACTCAGTCTTCAGCCTTGACAGTTGGCTCTTTCTGGCAGACAGATCTCTGGCAAAGACTTTGGAGCCCTGGTTCCGCTCGATCGCTTCTTTAATACGAGAAGTATTAAAGTTGCGTAAGTCTCGCCGTATGCATTTGGAGATCTGTCTGTTCAGTTGCCTGTATGCTGTCAAATCTGTTGACGATTGCAGCCTCATCTCCCGTCTAACAGCCATGAGATTAAGAGTGTGATCGGAGAGTTTTTGTGTTCTTCTGCGGCGGGTCTTGCAGAACTTAGCTCCGACCGCATGGACAGTTTCCACGAGCTTGTCGTTCATATCGTCCACTGCATTGCAATCTTCTAGGCACTGGAAGCGGTTACGTAACTCGAGCTGAAAGGTTTCGGGATTCTGGATTAGAGCACGAGGGGGACGGAGCGTTGACGTCATTAGACGAGACCTCTCCAACTTAACGTTTAGGTTCAGTGTGCCTCTAACCATTCGGTGATCGCTGCCAGTTTTCACCCTTGCGATCACTGAGACATCACTGAACAGTTGGCGTCTGGTCGTCATAATGAAGTCAATCTCATTTTTTGTCGAACCGTCGGGGCTCGACCAGGTCCACTTCCTGTGGGGCCGCTTCTGGAAGAAAGAGTTCATCATAAAGAGTCCCTCTTTCTCCATAAAGTCGGCCAGCTGCTGGCCCCTTCGGTTCCGTTGCCCCACTCCAAATTTCCCTACCTTCAGCTCACCGCTTTCTCTTGTGCCCAGTTTTGCGTTGAAGTCTCCCATCAACACCGTGTAGTAGGTTTTGGAGGAATGTATGGCTCTGGAAATATCCTCATACATTTCCTCCACCTCCTCATCGGGATGTGCCGAGGTTGGTGCGTAAACCTGAATGACCTTCAGCGAATACCGTTTGGTGATTCTGAGTATCAGGTACGCGACCCTCGTCGACACACTCCCAATCTTTACAACGTTGTTGACGAGAGATTTGTGGACGATAAATCCAACACCTCCTTGGGACAGATGGTCGCCCTCCCGGTGATAGAACAAGTTGCCGGACTCGAGGATTGCCGTGTCCTCCCCCTCTCTTCGGACCTCGGATAATCCAATAATATGCCAGCGCAACTTGTCTACCTCTTCTTCCAGCTCCAGTATCTTCTCGTCAGTCCTCAGGGTGCGTGCGTTATATGTTGCCAGGTCGAGTCGTCGTAGGTGGCAACCGAACCTCCACCGGAGATTCTTAGCACCCCCTGCCCCGCCGTTACCATGGTCGCCACCGTAGCCAGGAATAGCGGGGCCGCCGGGGACTGGGGGCCGTCTGTTTGTGTATTTATTCATTGGGGGGTATTTGCCATAGTTGCCACGCTTGGCGAGCGGGTTGGCAACCGCAGTTTTTTATTAGGTCACAGTTGTCATCAGGAAGACGCTGCTGCCCATCTCCTGCCTGTCTCCCTCTATCGCCTCTTACGACACCCACGGGAAGATATGGGGTAGTGGATATTCTTAACCGCCACTACACGGCAATAAGTTTAACGGTCAATACTAGATAGGAAGGTAAGTACTTACTTCCGCTTGATAAGATTCCTTTCATTCCTATTTTGTGGGAATCTTATGTGCTTCCTTAGTATGTGGGGTGCATTAAGTGCAGTTGTTACTTCTTGTAAACAACGGGACACTGTCTGTTGTGCCATGGGCCCATCCATATTTTGTCCCACTGACCCCTGGTAACTTCCTCGGGCATAAAAATTCAAAGCAGTAAGTATCTGAAATACATTAACACAGATTGAGGCTTATGAACAGTAAAATGAAAAATTAAAGAGAAGGGAGTGTTTAAACAATTTAAACTTACTTTAAGTGTGGGCTCGATTCCATGTCGTCTTCCCTTTGGAGGCAATAAAGGCACTATGTCCTGGCACAACTCCTCGAATAATTCCCGACTGAGTCTGTAATTTCCGACAAACTCTAGATCGGGAATATTTGAAATATTTAGTTGATTACGCAGGCGGCGCCGGTTCCTTCTACGCTCCAATCGTTCTTCACGTAAAGCAGCCGCGATTAAAAGCTGTCTCGTAGCCATTTTAGTTGAATTTTTAACAAAATCGACCAAAACGAAAATAAAAAGTTAACACTTTTGGTTTCGTCAATTTGAGGTTAAAATTACGAACAAGTATCTGTCAAACTTCAATTTTTGTTCGTAACTTTAGTGCAATAGAGTAAGCTTAGAGAATTTAAACGTCAAACTAATTTCGTTTCAACGAAGTTTCGAATCGAATGGAACCATGGTAGGAATTGAGCGAAATTTCGATCGAAATTTCGTTTTTCGTTGAATTAGAGTAGACCTACAGTTATTAGAAATTTCTATATTTATTACAGCTTATCTCTACTGCTGAACAAAGGCCTTCTTATTACAGCTTATCTGTACTGCTGAACAAAGGCCTCCTTATTACAGCTTATCTCTACTGCTGAACAAAGGCCTCCTCATAGATTGCCTCACAGGAAGATATTTGCCAAGGTCGCCATTGTTTTTGTTACTGATTAATTATAATTTGTTAGAAATATTTTATAGAATCTTATGTTTCTACGTAACCACTGCAAAAAGGATCAGTTATTAGAAATTTCTATATTTATTACAGCTTATCTCTACTGCTGAACAAAGGCCTCCTTATTACAGCTTATCTGTACTGCTGAACAAAGGCCTCCTTATTACTGCTTATCTCTACTGCTGAACAAAGGCCTCCTCATAGATTGCCTCACAGGAAGATATTTGCCAAAGTCGCCATTATTTTTGTTACTGATTAATATAATATGTTAGAAATTTTTTATAGAATCTTATGTTTCTACGTAACCACTGCAAAAAGAATCAGTTATTAAAAATTTATATATTTATTACAGCTTATCTTTACTGCTGAACAAAGGCCTCCTTATTACAGCTTATCTCTACTGCTGAACAAAGGCCTCCTCATAGATTGCCTCACAGGAAGATATTTGCCAAAGTCGCCATTGTTTTTGTTACTGATTAATATTTCATAAATTCAATTTAAAGCTTATATATTTTTCAAGTTTAACTACCTATAAACACACAATTTAATAATAAAGATTTTTACCAAACACTACCAGTTGACAAAAACATTTAAATAACTACGTAGTGGACGTTCAATGTTCTCGTGATATGTGAGATGAAAAATGTTTACTAAATACCAACCTAAGCATGCTATATATATATATATATATATATATATATATATATATATATATATATATATATATATATATATATATATATATATATATATATATATCCTCGTTTGCGAATCAAAACGCAGATGCGTTACCAGCCGCGAGGACTAAGATGGAATGCCTCTTTTCCAGTAAAAAGGGTCTCCGGTTCTCTACACTCACCATACCAAACACAGCGGCATTAAGCTGCTACTTTACGCTGATATTCTATGAGAGCGTGGTCCTTTCCCGTTCGAGCCGAGCCCAGTTAAAAAGCTGAGTTTATTTTAACGTGGTAGAGTATTTCTGATTATAAACTTAGTTTTATATTACCTATTTAATTCATTTCATATACATATAATACTGAATTTTACAGTACAATTAACTGCACTTATATCATTATGGCACGCTTAATATAAAACATATTATGATAACAATCTATTTTTAACAAATTTGTATATATATTATATTTTACATGTGTGTCATATAAAAATATCACATTTAAAATTATTAGTGACAGAAATTTTTAAGGCCGTGTTCAGCATTGACAATTTTAACGTACTTTGACGTATCTTCATGTGTTTGAAATATATTTTCCTCAGATGCTCGTATTTTTCTACGACCACCGACTAAAACTTTTCAAGACAGTGTACCAGTATGTATTTTGATGGGCGGGGAAGATATTACTATATAGATGTGACTAAATGTATCGTATCGAATCGTCGTATCGTATATATGGTATCAAAATACGGCCATACTACGAGTACTGACGACGATATGTGTTTCCGACACGAGATGTACCAATTACAAAGTTTTGTGAGCAGGTATTTGATACGATATCACAACGGCTTATTATAACGTTGGAACGAGGCATTCCACCTTAGGCCTCAGGGGTAACAACGTAACTACATTTTGATTCCTAATCGAGGATAATTCAGATGTTTATTGGTAAATAGCATCCACTTACCATCATGTGGGCTTTGTGCTCGTTTGTCACCGTTATTCTATAGAAAAAACATTTCGCGTTAAACTAGCGATCATGATACACGTCTGCCCGCAAAACGCAGTGTAGATTCTATACACAGATGATCAAATATGGGCCGGCCTATAGTATAAAAACTACAAAGGGTTCATATATATATATATATATATATATATATATATATATATATATATATATATATAAGTGGTGATGCAGCGGACTAAACCATGATCACGAAAAATGTCTATTTAATCTATAAATATGAAATACAATATGTCTAAATAAGGTGAGCTATTTTAATAAGTTTTAAATATTTAATATACATTCATTGTGAATTAGTTGGAATTCCCCTTGAGCACTAGAATTTCGAACCAATTTTACCATTTAAACAGTTTCTTATCTAATCGATCATAGTTCAAGCAATTTCCCTTACTTCAAACACTTTGAAGTACATTAGAGAGAGAATTAAATGAACTCTCAACAACAAATTACGTAATATTTAGTTGCTGAACTAAACCACGATTTGGAAAACGTCGATATTGTGTACGAGCTGTTACACGGAACCATCCAAGTTTATCGTCACATTACATTGAAATTTGGTGCAACTTTACTTTATATTGTGCGTTGTATACACGTCATTATATTCCATTCAATAAATAATAGAAACCGACTTCTTTTACTCGTATCATCGAACCTGATTTTAAATTACCATATATGAAGTATATTTAAAGGATCGGTAAGTCAGGAGTAAGTTATTACAATAATTAAATCATTAGATAAAAGCTATCCATTATAATCCTCCATTCTAAGTAGGTCATCCAAATAAATTATAACCTGACTGTACAAAAAATCAATCAAGCTTTTTAATTACACAAAGCTGCAATTTTTTTTTTATTTAAGTTGAATTTATATTATGAATAACATTTACCTGACGATGACGATAATTACTATTTTCTTTTTTTATAGAATAAGGGTGACGAACGAGCACACAGTCCACCTGGTGGTAAGACCCATAGACATCCACATTTATCCTTGAATAAGTATCAAAACGCAGATGCTTTGTCAACCATGAGGCCTAAGATGGAATGCACACTGCACACTCACTATACGAAACACAACAGTATTAAGCTGCTATTTTACGCTGGTATTCTGTGACAGTGTATTCCTTTCTCGAGCCGATCTATTCGTGCTACAACCATAATATAGCTGTAGCGTGACTCTACGACGTTTACTATAAACAGCTTTTAATTGAAAAATCGGCTCCAAAACATATAATACTGCTGCTATGATCTAACTAGTACAAGATATAGTATCAAATACAAATGACCTATATTCGGAATATTCTCAATTTTCAACACCGCTATGCCTTTCATACCATAAATGGTACGTTTCCTTATTTTTAATAGTTAATGTCCGCGGCATTTATTTGATGACGTTTGTGAGAATTAATTGAGGTGTGGACAAAGAAACAGAATTACATAATATACGTGCACACACACCCACCACGCGCGCGCGAGACGCACGCGCGCCGCACACGCACACACACGCACGCACACACGCACGCACACACACACGCACACGCACGCACACGCACGCACGCACACGCACACGCACCGCACACGCACACGCACACGCAGTGCACGCACACGCACACGCACACGCACACGCGCACGCGTACGCAACGCGCACGCGCACGCGCGCACACACACACACACACACACACACACACACACACACACACACACACACACACACACACACATGCATACATACATATCACGTATGTTGAAGAACTAAATGAGGGCAGTGCCGCGGCGGAGTGATGGGGCCGGAAGCGTCCGCAATTCGTACTCAGCATGACATCGATCTCGATCGATACAGTTCGCCAATTCGTCGTCTACGAGACTTACCGGTGATGGATTATAATTAAATCGTAACATTAACTATTACAGAGAAAATTAAATCTTAAGACCGCCTAACACGTGCATATATGTAAGCGAAATTACAACAAGAGGTTTGGAGAAATATAATCATAAAAGTCACTATTTGGTGTCGGTTAAAAGTGACACGTATGTTATTTACTTTTTACCAAAAATAAAATTGAATGAAGTTTCTATGACTGTAATGTAATTCATTATTTAAATAATATATTCATTCAGTAAATAAAAACTATATTTTTACCACCAATAATCTTCAATTTTATTGAAAACTACCGCACAAATCATCATAAATAACAAGCTTACACAGGATTCACTGCAGTGATCTAGAAAATTGAATATTTATTAGAATAAGCTCGATTTCGCACTTTTGATAAGTTACGAAATAGATGACTACCGTATGATGATAGTGTAAAAGAAACAATCTGATGTGATTGTTATTGGTATTACGCTTGAGACGACATGTAAGAAGCGACTTTGAGTATGGTCAGATAGACCTTGAGATGTCCGTTTAATGACAGTATGCCATCACGTATATACCGGTTGTAAAAAACCTAGACCGGCGATATGGAGTAGTAGCAAATATGTGAGACCTATAGAATTATAACTGCTTTTCCACCTGAGAAGTATGTTGATTTTTAAGCAGTGTTTAAGACTCGCCGGAAATTTTAAAAAGCGGGTTCCATCCCCGCCAACACCAATGAAATTGTTAATTGCAATTGTATGTGCTGATTATAAATGAAAATTACACGCACTGGAGAAGCGCAGCGGACTAATTACTTTACTTCATAACTTTTTGAAATGAGAGGCCAGTGTACCCGGTAGCCGGGCAGCGAGCGGGTATATTAGGCGGTAACTTAATTTACAATGTGAAAAGTCTATTGTGCCGAGAACTGTAACGGGCTGATAAAGTTAAAAATAATTATTTTACACGATTTAGAC